AGATGTTATCGCTGGATTGGTTGGACTATGATGCTATGTGGGCTATGGTGACTGTTAGGTTGTAAAGTTTAATCTGTCAGATACATGGGTGAAGTTTTCTTCCTTTGTCCTATGGTATTTCACTGAGATGAAAGAAAACTTGTGTACTCCCAACCCGTCATCTCGTTGCTACGTTGTAGGGATTGAGGTAAACTCAGTCCCAACAGATTGCTGAAAGTGGCAATTAGAATGAAAGCCATGCTTACGAACAAAGAACCTGCTGTCAGGTTCAGTAACAACAAATCGGTTGTTACTCAATTGCTTGTCTTTTATATGAGATGATGAAAGTGTTGCTTTGTGTGCTGCTGGAGGGGATGCGGCTGAGTGCAGTTTGTGAGTGCCTTCTAGGGTACATCTGCTGTACACAGAACAACCATCTAACAGGACTTAATGTTCTGGGAGCTTCATAGCAGTGTATATCAGTTGCATTTTTAAATGATTGAAGTTCTACATTTAATAATCAAATATAGGACTTAGAAAGAACCTAGTGGATACTGGAGAGGTGAAGCTAGAGAGTAGAAACATCTGCTGCTCTAAAGCAAGAGGCAGCTTAGCCTCAGCACTTGTCCCACATAGTGAATTACTCTGCAGAATTGATATTTGGATAGTACTATGAATTATGCTGTCTTTCTCTGATTGCAGGCTCCAGCAGTAGCGGCAGTTCCTGCAGCTGCTGCAGTTGCAGCAGCACCAGTGGGGACCTTCACAGATATCCCTATCAGCAACATTCGGAAGGTAAGATTTTATTCCTAAGAATTCTTTGCAGTATAGAATTTTCCAAATTAATTTATTTTGATTGCTTCTGTTGTATACCCTCAGGTCATTGCTCAGCGGTTGATGCAGTCTAAACAAACAATACCTCACTATTACCTTTCTATTGATATAAATATGGGAGAAGTACTGGTGCTAAGGAAAGAACTCAATGAGGTAAAGCCTTTAGGCATGGTGAGAGTGTGTGCGTGGGGAAAGCTGCATTCTTTCACAGGTTTACCCACCTGGCTTTTTGGTGATATGCCATTTTGTCTTGGAAAAAATAGTCTTTTCAGTGCCTTTTCTACCTGTTGTGCCTTAGTTCTGGACTGTCTGTGATAGAATGAGACTTTTTACCCAGGCACTGTGCACTGATTTCTGTCTTCCCCAACAGGGCCACTTTACTCTGCTTGGTGTTGTTCAATTCTTCCAGCTGGGAAGTTGGACAAAATGGTACAAAGGTTCTAAGAATAAAAAGGGTAGAAAATTTAAGCGAAAGAATAATTCTATGTCAAGTTTGGGGAAAAAAATCAGACATTAAAAAAGGTTGTACCTTTTTAAATTATAAGAGGTACCTCCTAAACTATCTTGGCACTTCAAATATTAATGTTTACAAGTAGTGAGTTTGTTTTCTAAGTTTCTTTAAACAAGCCTGCATGGCAGTGACTATCCACGTTAACTGATGTAATGTGTAAGAGGCAAACTGACACTTCCGTATCTCTTTATTTACAGATGGTCTCAGGTAACACTAAGCTTTCTGTCAATGACTTCATAATTAAAGCTTCTGCTCTGGCTTGCTTGAAGGTGCCTGAGGCAAATTCTTCATGGATGGACACAGTTATCAGGCAGTAAGTTAATGGTACAGTCAAAGCCAGAAATTTTGTTCGGTAGGCTCATGGCAAACCAGCTAGGATTTAGAGGCAGGGGAACAGATATAATGCAAAGGTTGAGAGGCTTTTGTTGAAGTGCTAAGAACTTTGCATCCAAGGCCAGTGTGCAAGATAAAATAATTGTTGCAAAATTAATATTAATTTAGAGTTGTCCAAACAGTTCTGAAAATTACTGTCCTTGTTACCATGCTAGAGTAACTAGCATCTCCTTTGTGTCTTGCAGAAATCATGTGGTGGATGTTAGCGTTGCAGTTAATACTCCTGCAGGGCTTATAACCCCTATTGTGTTTAATGCACATATAAAGGGCCTGGCTTCCATTAGTAAGGATGTGGTTTCTTTGGCAGCTAAAGCCCGAGAAGGTAAACTTCAACCTCATGAATTCCAGGTGAGAAACTCAAATTGCTGTTAAACATTACTGCCCTTGACTTCTGTTCAGAAGTCCTGTTTAGAATGAGCAGAACCTATTCTCTGATGTTTTAGCCATGTTTGTTAATATTCCACATGAAATAGCTTTTTTGAGTTTGACTACGAATGTGTTTTTCTTGTAGGGTGGTACATTCACAATTTCCAATTTAGGAATGTATGGGATTAAGAATTTCTCTGCTATAATCAATCCACCTCAAGCCTGCATCCTTGCCGTTGGCTCCTCAGAGAAAAGGCTAGTGCCAGCTGATAATGAGAAAGGGTAGGTGTGCATCTGATTCTGCATATAGCGAGCTTCTGATTTCAAAAAGTTGATATACTGCTTTCATGACCTTCTGAAGTACAGTGAGATCTTCTATAAAGGGGTCACACAAGTTGAAGAGAAATGCAGTGACTGATGAATGACCTGCCATACATTTTTTTTGCAACTTCTTTCAAGTTAAGGAGAAGCTGTTTCTTTCTTTGAGGCCTAGTCTGCCATCCACAATAGTTGAGGCACCTGTTCCTCTTTTAACAACTTGTTAAAATTTGCATTTAAGGAAAACCTAAGGGAGGGATTATAATCCAAGTATTTTGTATATAACATTGCCTTGGTTGAAGATTGAATTTGTGTAGATCCAGGAGAATGTTTTGGATTATTTAAACGTGTTAACAGTCTGTCACTGACACATGGGGAAGCTCAAGGTTATTTGGTAAAATGGCTGTTTGTTTTCGATTGTGTGAGGCTGTTCTTGTGATTCAAGGATAGATGAGCTTCCTGTCCTAAAGGGAACATACAAATGTGTTTCTTAATTGTAGGAAAGGAATTAATACAATTCTGCTGTATGATTGTAATCTTTTTCAGAAGTCCAAAGAGAGAAACGTCTGCTGCCAAGCACCAACTACTGCTGGTTCCCTGATAAAAGCTATTTTTGCCTTGTTACTGGCAGTGACTTCCAGAGGATTGTATTAACCTTTTCTTTCTTCCGTCTTTCAGATTTGATGTGGCCAGTATGATGTCCGTTACACTTAGCTGTGACCATCGTGTTGTAGACGGAGCAGTTGGAGCACAGTGGCTTGCTGAATTCAAGAATTTCCTTGAAAAGCCAGTAACCATGCTGCTATAATTTAACCATGCAAGCAAAGTTTTTCTGGATCACACTGTTTTATTTTAAACAAGCTATTTAGACGTGAGTGTTAAGACTTATTAAAAGAGTTCCTTTTTTATTTTAAATATGTATTATATTATCTGGTAATGTTATTACCAGTCTGTACAGAAAAAGTTTGCAAAAGTGCTTTTCAGAGCAATATTACAGCTATACTGTATTTTTATACAGTTAACTTGCAAACTCTTCCAAAACAGAGTTAAGCATCCCAGATTTAAAAGTTATCCAGGCAGTATGCATACTGCCATCTGCTTCTAAACTAGGGTGAACGGGGAGGTGGGGAGTGCACACCAAGCAATTTCATCACCTCTGTTGTTATTAATTTGAGTTATAAACATCTCTTCACAGGAGTTCAGGTGAGATGGTAACTGAAACGTACAAGTTAGTAAAAGGTGGATTCCCTTACTGTCCTGTTCTGCTGGGATGGGTAGTATGACATGCACTAAGGGACTGAAGCGCCTGGGAATAGTTTCTCAAAGGCCAAGTGCTAGCATTCCAAATCTCTCTTTGGAATCTGGCACTGGTCTGGACCTTCTCAGCTATGTGATCCCTTTTGAGCACTTTAAGGTGAAAGAGCACTGATATCTGTGGGGTCACAGCTCTCAGATACCACAGGGAGTGCTTATCTCCTTGCGGACTTATACTTACATGTGCTTTCTGTATGAAAACTCTAATTGCTTTTCCTCTTGTTAATATCAGACTAGGACACCATGGAAAGTAACCATTTTGCAGAATGTTTAAGAGAAACTGTGTGCTGGAACCTAATATAGGCAAATCACACACACTTAATAATCCCATCAGTGGATATTAGTCCTGTGATGACTCAAATGTTTGGAATTTTTTTCCAGGCATTCTGACATAGGAATCTCTGAGTTAGTCACTGGTACTGTGGTTCTGCCCCGAATTGTCTATGTTGTTCCAGCCTCAGTAGGCTGCAAAATGTGCTACCATATGTATATTGTATGTAAAATACTTCAATAGTTTGTTGGACTTGTGTCCAGTTACCCCAGTCATTGTATCCTGAAAGGGGTGCAGTGCTGAACATTCTTAAGCTCCATTTTCCACATGGAAATCTTAATGTGAAAAGGATGGCTGTATAGCAATTACAAAGTGTCCAGGAGAATTACAAGGGGGTAGAAGTCTAAAAAAAGAAAAGAAAAAGTTAAAGCTGTTCTGTTTTTCTGTATATTGCATTAAGTACTGTCTCCTGTAAAGTTCTACAGCGTTCACTAAAGATACTGGAAGAAAATACTATGGAAATTAAATATTTTTGTGGGAACTGTTTAATGTCTGGTTGCCGTGATACCTGGTTTTCATGCCTGGCTTAAGCAAAAAGGTGCATTAAAGGTTTAGCTTTTCTTTAATGTTCTAAAATATCTTGGTTCCAGACTTGCTCTAGTGAACCTGTGTTCTATTAAATGTTTGGAATTGACAACTACTAAAACCTCTTCCAGTGCTTTTGTATTCAGTTGTGTGTAGCTTACTGTACTGCTATAGCAGAATCAGAGCTGTTTAGCCTCTCAGTCTGATCATGAAACTCACCCTATTAACTTTAAATTGTAATTACAAATGTTCCAAAACAATACATGCTCTATTAGTATCATGTAGCAGTGAACTTGAATCTTTCTGGCTTCCTTGCTGCAGCACACCTCAAATTCTGGTTACAGAGACCTTTCACTCTGGAACACTTGCAACACAAAAAATCCTGCCCAGTGCTTGTGCACTGAGTGCTGATAGTGATTTCTGGTCCTGCTTGCATCCCGCAACAGGCCAGCTCAGCTCATGCAGTGGTGGAATTTCATCTTGAACTTGCAACTATAACCACTGAAGAGTGTCTCAATGCAGCCAGAAGTCTCTTTGAAACAGAGAATGGGGAAAGCTAGGAGTTAACTGCACTTTCATCAGTTTGTATTTTAAAGTTGCAGCCCAAAACCAATTTGCCTGTTTCCATTTCTGATCTGATGAGTATCAGTACAGAAGCATGGTTGTAATGCACGTGTTGTAAGCCATAAGAATGACATACTACCAAATCAATCATGGAAATAAGATCACTTAAACTTTTGTTTGTCCCTGTGCCAATTCTAGTCATGCTTAGTAATCCTTGAAGCTGTTTTGTGTTGCTTTTTGTTGCTTTGTATTACTTTGTATTTTGTGTATTACTGTAAAATAATGCAGGTGGTCTTTCCTAATTGAAATGCTGCAAGATTGTTTTTGGTTGCTAGCTTCACTCCAAGCATTCCTGAGCTTTGAATCTGTAGATGTTGTTTTGAATGGTACAGAATAGGTCTGGTTTTTGTGGTCTCATTCAGAGATTACGAAACCAGTAAGAACTGAGGTCAAGCATATTCAGTGACTACAAAGCCTGTTCCTGTTAAAATCAGCAGGGATTGTCCTAGAGACTGAGAACACCATGCAGGACAACTTGTAGAACTGTGTATGACACACCTCTACAGGTTGCAGTATTAAACACATGTGAGACCTGCAATAACCGTGTTTATCCAGTAATCAATTTATTCTGCAAAAACACTTCACAACTGTTACTGCTGTACCTTAAGGCAAAATGAATGTATGCATTTATGGTCTTTTACTACAGCTGTTAACATATTCAAGTCAATCCTTGAATATTTGCAATCTTTAAACTTATATTTGTCCTAACTTTTGTGGTGTTAATGTTCCTTCAGACTTCCTTTTCTACATACATTTGAGGTATTCACCCCTGAAGATCAGAAGGTCAATTTAAAGAAACCCATCTCATCACCTTCTAAAAGTTAGGATTCTCATTCTGAGCTTTTTTTTTCTTCTGGCATCTGTGAACATGAACTGGACAGAATGCTGCCTTTAAGGATCTGGCTTGGCAACCAGCACTGTGATAAACAGTATCTGTTTTCCTTTGTTAAATACCGCTGTAGTTGTTTCTTCATCCACCAATTCTGGCAGCTCTAGTTGCAATTTGTATTTTCCAGGGACTTCAATCACTATGTCATCCTGAACCAAGAAAATTAAAATACTTGATTAACTATTTGACAGTGAATTAGCAGTGAGTGTTTCTAGGAATTGGATACTAGACAGAAAACATAGGATTGTTATTTCTGCTAGCTTACCTTTGACATTCTCAGATCACACTCAGAAACCGAGCTAACCTTAGGCAATTCAATTCTGAGTTCAATTTTGAGTGATTTCTTGTTCGCATCCTTTACAGTGATCATTTCATAGGCAGGGGTACTGAGCTTCTCTGGCGTTTCAGTGCTAGCAATTTCCTCTATCAGATGCCCTTTCGGCTGCCTCACATGTTCTTCCTTCAGCAGGACCGAAGCATTGCTGCAGTCCTCAGCTTTCATAGTGTGTAGCATCTCGTCAAGTGTTAGTTCTTTCAAGAAAAGGAAATTTTTCACACATATCACTCAGTTACTGAAGTGTAATGTTACGACACTTGACAAATACATCATGAAAGTTTTATCTGTAACTAATTGGCATTAACAGTTTTGTCAGCTGAAGGCTGTTACTGGCAGTTTTCCTTCGCCCACAATTATGTTATATTGCCAGTGGGTTAAAGTTACTGTTTTCAGACTACTAGTTAACAGCCGCAATCCCTTTTACTCAGGTTAGGGCAGAAGAAACTTGAGCACCTAAAAGGATTAAATGGCAAGAGTTCCCATGTTTACTGGATATAAAAAAAGGGAATATGCAGTTCCAGTGTCACTATGTTTTCTCAGTTGTAAAACACCAAAGATAAATGCAAATAGGCCAGCAGGGGTAAACTACTGTCTGGTATGAATACTTCTGACTTGGAAGCTTTTGGTTTTTGCTTAAGGCAAGAACTGGGTTACAGATGAGGCTTGAGTAAATTTGTTGGAGAATCTAATAGGTCAAAGAAAAGCGACTGCGTTATGTCTGCATACCCTTCTTTGTGTTCTGACTGTGATGTGGAGTTGGCCTCTGCCTTCCTCTCAGACGCTGCTGCATCGTTTCCAGGCTTCCCTTCAGTTTGAATGATTCAATGGTGTACAAATGAGAAAGAGTAAGGTCGCATCGTTCCTCAACAAATTTAAGTGTCAAATGGATCAAGTGCTCCATTTTCTCTGGGTTTTCTTGTCTCCTCTGAAGAACATCTGGGTTATAGGCAATATCTATAATGCTGTAAAGGTCTATAAAAGTAAATTATGTGTCAGAATTATTTTGCCAGTGTTCTTTATAGCCACTTGATTTTTTTAAGAGCAAAGGAAACTAATTCGTGGCTTCTGGTCAGAGCTGACTCTTTTCAACCTCATCTAGAGAAACACCCCGAGCCAAGAGCTGGCGACGGCACAGCACCACCCCCTGTTACAGCGACAATCTGCGTGTGATCGCCACGCAATGCAGTAGTGCAGGAAGAAATGCATCCGGGGCGAGGCGCAACTCTTGCGGGACATACCTCCTTCGCCAGATACCTCTTGTAGCGGCCCCGCACTGACAGGTGTGGGGTCAGCGGGACCTTTAGGTGCCGGGAGCCTTTTCCAGCTGCAGACATTGATGAACAGCGGCCTCCCGACACCACCCTGCAAGAGACCGACCCGCGGCTGAGCGCCGCGTCCCGCAGCACCCGGGCGGGAGGCCGCGACCCCGACCCCGCGCACCCACCGCGGGACGCGCCCGCAGGCACAGGTGAGGCTCCGGGGGAGCGCAGAACAGCTCTGCCTCGGCGCGCTGCTGCTGCAGGAGCCGGCGGTAGGCCTGGGGCTCGTTCTCTGCCATCTCGTCCAGCAGCGACCAGAGTTGCGCGGCCCGCGTTAGCGCCGCGCCCGCCATGGCTGCCTCCGGTCGCCTAGCAACGGCCGCCGGAAGGGCGGGCCTCGGCGGGTCCGTTGCTTTCCCCGTCCGCCCGCTGCTTCCGCGTATTCTGGCCCTGCGGCCGCTCTCGCCCTGAGACCTCCGGCCCCGCGGCGGAGCTGGGGGCTGCCCTCTTCCCCCCCGGAGCCGCCGCGAGATAGCTGCGCCCCGGGGCCCCGGCGTGTGCTGCCAGGAGGAGGCACTGTGCGGGGACCACGTCCGGTCGGGAGCCGAGAGCAGGCCCTGCCGCTCCCCGGCTGCGGGGGTGCCCCGGTGAGCGGGCCCGGGGGTGCCGGTGGGGCCGGCGTCTGCGGGGCCGTGTAGGGCGAGAGGATGTCCCGGGTGCCGGTGGGGAAGGTGCTGTTGAGGAACGTCATCCGGCACACGGGCGCGCACAACAAGGTACGGCCGGGGCCGGTGGGGGCTGCCGTCCTCGGCGGCCTCTTGTCCCCCCTCTCTGCGGTGACTCTTCCGCCTGGCTCTGCCCCGTGGCCGCTTCTGCGGCCGGCTTTTGTCCGCGGGTGCGAGTGCAGCCGCCCTGGGCATCACGTGGGGGTTGCTCCGAGATTCGGGACCGCTGGTACTTCCCCGGTAGTGCGGAGCAGGCAGTGGGGCAGGCGGAATGCCTGGGTTGTGATCGGGAGAGCAGAGAGGAAAGAAACTTGTTGAAATCAGCCGCGTAAGCACCGTTAGTCTCGATTTCAGTTTAATCTGGTTTTGAGTTCTTATCCTGGGAACGTGCATATTTAGATAGACCGATGTGTGTGTATATATATATATATATTCACCTATAAAAATTGTGCCATGGAACATATTTTCTCAGGAGTTTAATGAAAACTGTGGTTTGCTTTGCTTTTTTAAAAGTAGTAAATCTTTCTTTTTTCTTGTACTGTGTATGTATTGTTAATTGCATCAAAGAATTTCAACGTTGTGGTAATGTGCACAGGCAGTATTTTAGTGCCAGATTAAGAAACTCCGTTAACTTTAGCAAACTCTCTAATGAATTTTTGACATAATTCAGCAGGTCTAACTCATTTGTTTCATATGTTTATAAAGTTACTTATTTACTGTCAACGTCCATAAACACAAGTATGTGTTAAACCATGCAGTATCTGCATGCTGTGTTTTATTAGCTTGTCATGTAACTTCTCATTTCATCTTGGTCCTTCCAGATTATGTTTATATACTGCATTCTCTAACAGTATGTATATTTAGGGTGGTAATGAATAACAAGGTAGGGTAGCCAGAACAGATGAGATAGCAAAATCAGGCAAACCCACCATTTCTGATGCTGTTACCCTCATGTGCTTTGTTATATTACTATCAAGAGGTTTTCCTTTTGGTTACAGCTAATAGAAAATAATCTGTTTCAGTATGGTAGGAAAGCTTGCTGTGAATTTTGTTGCAGGAGAGTTGAGCTGATGTTACATGCTACGTGTCTGTAAAGTTTCCCTAATGTTCCTCTGGTTTTCCTTCTGTGACTTTCAGATTCAGGAAGAGACAGAAATGTGGAAAATAAGGGAGTGGGAGAAGCAAACCGAAGAGACTTACTGGAAAAGGCAGAGCAGAATGCTGTCAGACACCTCCAGGTGGGTTTTAGTTGTTTAGAGGAGTTAATTGTCTTGACTTAATTGCTAAGTTGCTGAACTCTTGTTTGTTACAACACTTTAGGAGCATTCTGTGATGAATGTGTGTTGATAGTGTATGAAGTCAGACTACAGATACATTTATTTTCTCCTTAATGAGTAAGTGTCCTGGGTTCAGCAGCAGTCATTTTTCTCCTTCTTAGTAGCTGGTGCAGTGCTGTGTTTTCAACTTTAGTCTGAGAACAATGCTGATAACACACCAATGTTTTTCATTGTTGCTAAGTAATGCTTAATCCGACCAAGGACTTGTTCAGTCTCATGGTCTGCCAAGTGAGGAGGGGCATGGGAAGCCAGGAGGGAGCAGAGGCAGGACACCTGACCCAAACTAGCCAAAAGGGTATTCCATACCACAGCACATCATGCCCAGTATAGAAACCAGGGTGAGTTACCCAGAAGGCCCACATTGCTGCTCCGGTTGAGCTGGGTATCTGTCAGCGGTAGCTGAGCAATTGTATTGTACATCACTTGTGTTTATTGTTTTCTTTTCCTTTCCCCTTTTAATTTTATATTCTCTCCCCTTGTTATTTCCCTTATCATCATTATTATTGGCGGTAGCAGTAGTGGTTTTGAATTATATCTTAGTTACTGGACTGTTCTTATCTCAACCCATGGGATTTACATTCTTTCAGTTCTCCTCCCCATCCCTCTGGGAGCTGGGGAGGGAAGAAAAAGAGGGGGAGTGAGCAAGCAGCTGCTTGGTTCTGAGTTAACAGCTGGGCTTAAACCATGACAGTAAGGTTTTGTGTGAGCTGTTAGTGGTGACTGTGTTAAAATGATAGCTGGTCTTCTTGCATAGATGGACATTCAAGGCTTGCTGCATTTTTGTTCCTCTCACTGGACTAACCCCTTGTTCAGAAGTTTTCTGCATCACAGCTGAAGAACAACTGTTCTCTTTCCACAGCAGCCGAATGCGCAGTGATGGTTTTGATGAGGATGGCCACAGGCCTGACTGGAAAGCAAAGAACTCACAATTTCTGGACCTAGTTGAAGATGATCTCCTTAGGGCCCGATCCTGGAACAAAAAGCTGTATGAATGTGAAGCCAACATGCCAGACAGGTCTGTGGGGGAATTACATTCTGTGATTATAATTAATTAAAACACCTTTTGGGGGTGATGTACCAAGAAGTTAGTACATTTGTATTTCCAGTACATATTCCTATAAAATAATGCTTGGTTTTATTTTGAGAATAAGTAACATGTACGAACTTACTTAGTGTCACAGGGTAAGTGACACAAGTTGAATTATAGAGTCTCTCAGTCACAGTTAGCAGCAAAAGCTCAGCCTTAAGCTTAGCAGCTAAGCTTAGTATTTATTACTTTGCCCAAAGAACTTAAAAAGTTAGTGCTGTCCAGGGTTATTTTAAAGAAACTTGGATTGAAATTATTCCTGATTAGAAATGGAAAGGAGGCTGAGAACATTGGGTATATTTAAATAGTATAAACTAAATCAGTTATATTTCCTTCCTTTTTTTTGGTTGGGAAGGTTCTGATGGCCCTTCTTTGCTGTTGAAACTCATGTTCATTCTGTGGCTCTGTCGTTTCAGTTATATTTTTTTCCTTAAATACCTTATCAGTTTCTAATACCTGGTTCTGCTTTCTTACAGATGGGGTCACAGTGGCTATAAAGAGTTATATCCTGAAGAATTCGATACAGATAGGTAAGGCAACTAGATGTACTAACGTGTCTGAAATCTTGCTCTGTCAGGTTATGCAAGAAATTTGTTAAACTGAATTTTAAGTTCTCAGTATGGATCAGCCTTGACTGTAAGGCAACATTGTTTATTTACAGATACCTGCTGAAAATTATCTAGTCCATTAATGCAGTCCCCCCTTGTCTGAGTCTTAGGAGAGATTTGCATCTTTTATAGTAATTAGACTTGCAGCTTGAGCTCGAGTTACTAAAATGCTGTGAATCTGGAAGGTCTGTCTGGGCCAACAGGGAGCCAGAGTAGTAGGCTTAATCCTAATCAGCTCAGTATATTCCCTCTCAAAACGCTCCAGGTTCCCCTTTCCCCTTGTAATGCACCTGTATTTTCTGTTTCTCCTTACTTGAAGAATATAAAATCTTTGAGGAATATAAAATCTTTGAAGAATATAAAATATAAAAACAGCATCCTGAGGAGTGGAGACTTAACTGTAAAATAAGATCTAAATACATCAGAATTAATTATTTTTAAACTATACTTAGCAGAATCATCACATACAATATTTGTCACGCTTACAGATTTGAACTAACCTGCTGTAAATAAGCTTTCATCACTCAGTGGCTTTCAGTACATACTCTCCTTGGTTGTGGCTCATATACCTTAAACAGAGGTATTAATAAGGTGTGAACCCGAGCTGTTACTAAGTACTTGAAACAAAAGTGCAGCTACCTTGTCTGTCAAAGCATCTGTTTTCCTGCCCTTGCCAAATGATGGGCTTGCTTAAAGCCTTGAGACAGAAGAGGCTTAACTGCTGTGTGGCTGCCTCTCTGCTTCCTTTTGACGATCCTGTGCTCTTTCTACAGTGACCAGCAAGAAGGAGATGACCAAAGTGCTATCAATGGTAAGAAGAAATCTCATCTAGAAAAGCAAACTGCCCGGGAATCGCACAAACGGAAAAAAACAAAGAAATCGCACAAGAAGAAGCAAAAAAAGCGATCACACAAAAAGCGAAAGAAAAAGAAAAAGGAGCAGGGGAGAACATCATCAGATTCTTCCCAGGAGAGCGAGTGCTCAGAAGAGGAGACTTCAAGCACTCGAAAAGGGAAACACAAGCGCAAGAAAAAGACCAGGAAAGTGCCTGCCAGGGAACCTACCTCCTCTTCTGGGCAGGAAAGTGACTTTTCCCATGCAAGCAGCTCAACCACCAGCAGCTCTGAGGACAGTGAATCTGAGGAGAAAAAAGAGAAACGGCCCCCCAAAAAGAGAAAGAAACGTCACAATTCTGTTTCAGAGAGGCACAGTGAAGTACCGGAGAAGAGGAGCAAGAGGAAGAACTGGAAAGTGGCTGCTGATGAAAAATCAGAGGATAGCTCAGATGAGGACTGATGAGTCTAGGCTGCAGATCAAACAATAACGTAGAGGACAGAGGCAGGTATTTGTCTTTCAGCACTGCCCCATGGTACAAGTCGTTTCAACACTGTGGTTTATATACATCCTGCCAGCCCACGGGGGAGAAAATGAGCCTTGGCAGCCTGCAGTAGGTGCCCCCTTGCTTTTCATTGACTTGACATTCAGAAAACCAGGGGAGCAGTTGTGTGCCTAACGGGTTGGCTAGTCCTGACAACTTTGGATTCTTTTTGTGTGACCTCTGATGCAAGAAAATGTTACAGGCTGTCTGCAGGGGAAAAAGGGGCATGTTTGCACCAAGGTCTTTTTGTGTTTTTTTTTTTTTCCT